AGCCCAGCAAGCTACCAAGAGTATCTTGCCTGCACGGCAGAGCCTGGCAAGCTCCCTGTGGCATATTTGATATGCCAAAAAAACAGTAACAAGTCTCACAATGGAGACGTTACTGGTACCCACTCAAGCAAATCGATGAACAACAGGAGGACAGTGCTACAGTGGTACAGTTATGTGACTACCAAAATGTAACTTGTAATACAGTGTTCTTGACTTAACCCATTCTTTTACCACCCTTCCTCACACAAAACCATACTCACCTTTTGAAAATTTCAAGACTGATGTTCGGCTACAGAAGCTCAGTGGGACTGAAACACTTATTTTGCATGCAGAAAGCTTTGTCCGATTCCCAACACTGCATAGGGTACCCAAAGTACTGCTAGAGGTCTGCGTGGGCTCAATTACAGTACAGTAAGCTATCAGGGAATTTTTCCCCACCTCACCCCAGAAATGCAGGGAATATTACCAAAAAAAACCAAGTTCAATGGATTTCTATGAATGTCCTTCCAGTGTAAAGGACAACAACTCCTTTCTACCTTCTTATGAGCACCAAGATTTAACAGGTGCTATCCTCTGTGGAAAAGAGCCCAAAGCAGGGCAGGGATAGGGGTGGGGGCTGGGGTACCAAACTTGGAACTCACAGAATCATGGCATGTGCTTGATACCACCAAGCTACACCACTAGCCCTAGTTTCATTCTAATTTAGCGCCAACTCTAGTTCTTACTTAAATTTGTCAAATTAATGGTGAAACATTTGAAGTTTTCATCTAAAGTAAAGTCTCTGACGTTACATTCTGCCTTACAGGTATTAATAATTATTCCTGACAATATAAAAACAAAGAGACCAATGAATGTAACAGAAAATACTGATTAGTTAAAAAAAATAGTATTTTAGAATTAAAATGTAATCAGCTTCTAAAAGAAATTTTAAAAACACATTTGTTACAAGGGTCTATTTCACAGTGATTCAATTTTTTAAAAATCATAAAAAAAACCCACTTAAAAATGATCTGAATTCAAAAGGATGGTTTTATAATGTGTAGGAAAAAAACACACCCTGTAGTAGCATTGTCCTCCCACTGTTCATCAATTTGCTCGAGTGGGCCCAGTAACATCTCCATTGTGAGACTTTGTTGTTACTGTGTTTTGGCGTATCAAATACGTCATGGGTAGATTGCCAGGCTCTGCCATGCGGGCGAGATACTCTTGGTAGCTTGCCGGGCTCTCTGAGAGGGGCGGAAGAATCGAACTCTGGGTTGGCCACGTGCAAGACAAATGCCCTACCCACTGTGCTATCGCTCCAGCCCACACCCTGTAGTAGTCTTTTAAAAATTCCATTGAGTTATTCAAGAAGGAAAGAATGATATCAATCAACTGTTCCTTCTCCTCTTTGAAACCAAAACTAAACTGATTCAACAGATTTTTGTTATCTGTTGTCTATATATAGAAGAGCAGGGTGTCTCCAAGTCATTACTTAAAATTCACTCTTCTATTTTGTGGAGATACTTAGTTGCTGACACAACTATTTTTATCTCACTCCATCAATCTGAGTTAATCTTACAAGTTAGTTAACTGGAAAAAAAGAAAAAAATTAATCACAGTTAAACAATTAGCTGCAGTTTAACTGGGTTAATTGGTCTATACCCCTAAATATGCCAAACACTCCAACTGGAAAGGGTGATAAAGGTACGAAAAGTGAAGTAGTTGGCCAGAGAGATAGTACAGTAGGCAAGGTGCTTGCCTTGCACACAGTCTACCAAGGTTCAATCTCTGGCACCACATATGGTCCTCTGAGCTTCACCAGGAGTGATCCCTGAGCAGAGCCAGGAGTAAGTCCTAAACATAAAAGGGTGTGGCACTCCCCCAAAAGAAAAATGAAATTGAAGTATCTGAAGTTCTATTCTCTTTCTTGTCTATACTTCAGAGCAGATTCCTTTCAAACAAAACCCTCTACAATTTCCAAAAGTCTTCACCAAGTTTGTGAACTAAATCGAGATTCACAGGCCAGGGTTGTAGCTCAGTGGCTTTATGAGTATGTACAAGATGCCACTGCACTCTACATCCATCTCAAACCTGCTCTCTCCACAAAAGGGAATGTCCTGCCACAGAGGCAGGGTGGGATGGGGGGTGGGTGGGAGGGATATTATCCATGGTGGTGGAAAGTGGGCACTGATGGAGGGATGGGTATTTGATCATTGTATAATCGAAACCCAAGCACAAAAAATTGTAAATCTACAACTGTACTTCATGGTGTTTCACTAATAAAAAGGAAAAAAAAAGCATGTCAGGAAAAAAAAAAACCTGCTCTCTCCTTCCCCAAGACAATCAAGTTCCACAAAATATAATTAGAAAAAGGATAGCCTGAATCAAAAGAAAAGAAATCTAAAAGCATTAGCACTTTTGACTATCACTTAATCACTTAATCCCCGTTATTCATCGATTTACTCGAGCGGGTGTCAGTAACGTCTCCATTCATCCCGGTTGTGTGCTAGCATAGCCCAATGGTATCTGTTCATTCTAGGAACATGCAGAGCCTCAAACCGATCATTCAGGGTCTTGACGAAGAAGTCTGACCATCTTGTAGGTGGGCGTCCATGTGATCTTTTGATGTCCCGTGGAATCCAATCAGTAATGGCTCTAGTCCAGCGGTTGTCTGTAAACCTCATTACGTGTCCAGACCATCTGATTTTTGATGTCTTGGCAAATGAGACAGCGTCCCTGATTCTTGAGCGTTGACGAAGATCAGAACTCTGGATTCTATCTCTCATTTGAGTGAATCGTGATATTCCAAGCATAGCTCTTTCGGTTCCTCTTTGAGCGACCCGAATAGCGTTCTCATCCTGTTTTCGTAGGGTCCAGGTCTCTGAGGCATATGTTAATGCAGGAAGAACAGTGGAATCAAAGAGATGTGCTCGTAGCTGGAGGTTCTTTGTCCTTTTAGTTATTTCTTCAATGTTCTTGAAGGCATTCCAAGCCGCTCTCTTCCTCCTGCGCAACTCAGGTGCCAGGTCATTCATCATGTTGATTTCTCGACCTAGGTATATATAACTGTTGCATTCGGAGATGGTGGTTCCGTTGAGAGCGAATGGAGCATCAGGAACAAGGCTGTTTCTCATAAACATTGTCTTCGTAAGATTCAGCTGTAGTCTGACCTTTCCACTTTCACGGTCAAAGTCGTTCAGCATTTGTGCCGCTTGGCTGATGTTTGGTGTTACTAGAACGATGTCATCAGCAAAGCGGAGGTGGTGTAGCTGCCGACCATCTATCTTCACTCCCATACTTTCCCATTCCAGTTGTCGCATGATTTTCTCGAGGGTGGCACTGAAGAGTTTTGGTGAAATGGTATCACCCTGCCGAACCCCTCTCTTGATAAGGATGATTACTTCTTTGTAGAATGGTGAGATCTTGGTAGTGAATCCGCAATACAGCTCACGAAGGATCCTGATGTATTGAGTTTGTACGCCCTGATTGGCTGGGGCTTCCATGACCGCTTCCGTCTCAACAGAATCAAAGGCCTTCTTTAAATCAATGAACATTAGACAGAGCAGCATCTTGAACTCCCAAGAAACCTCAATGAGCTTAGTAATCATGTGGATATGGTCGATGGTACTGAATCCTTTTCGGAATCCAGCTTGTTCACATGGTTGTCCTTCATCTAGTGTTCTGCTAATCCTATTCAGGATGACTCGAGTGAACAGTTTGTAGACGACAGACAATAGGCAGATTGGGCGATAGTTGCCAATGTTGTGGATGTCTCCCTTCTTGTATAGTAGTACAGTCCTGCTGGTTTTCCATTGGGATGGAACCTTGCATTCAGACAGGTAGCGTGTGAAGAGCCGAGCCAATGTATTGATGAGTACTGATGGTAAGTTCTTCAGGTGTTCAGGTCTGATCTTGTCTGGGCCAGGTGCTCTTTGTTTCTTTACCGACGAGATGGCATGTTGGATTTCGGAAGGGAGAACATTGGGAACGACATATCCATCATGTGGTATGTGGTATGTGGGCAAGTGGACGTGGCTATTAAAGAGATCTGAGTAGAAGTCATGAATAATCTTCTCCATTGCCCTTCTGGAAGATGTGATAGATCCATCATGATGTCAGAGGATAGTAATAAATGGATCTCATTCCCCTAACTTTTGACTATATATTTTAAAATAATCATGAGATGACCATATCACTCAAATTGTTTCATCCTCACTACCCAAACATCCACAAATTCTGTCTTTTTTAGAAGTTTTCAATGTCCTTCACAAAGCTTTCCCAGCAAAAGTAAAGGGAAAGCCTCCAAATCACAGACCCTACCCTCAGTTCAGCGGCAGTATAGGTATCAAGGGACTGTGCCCATCGAGGTGAGAGGTGCCACCTTCATCCTTTCCCTGTTGATTGTCTCTTGGACTTCTGGTAACTGTGAGACTTCTGACAGAGCTGCAAAGTAGTTCCCTACATCACACTCCCAGGAGCACACACTTATGCCAGTGAACCTATAGGCTCTGGGGTGGTCATCACCCAAATGTTCAAGAACAAATCATGGATGAAGAAGCTGTGGTATAATCAACACCATGAAATCCTACTCGACTGTGAGAAAAGATGAAATCATGCTATTTGCTGCTAAGTGGATGGATCGAAGAGCATCAGGCTGAGTGAAGTTATTCGGAGAGAGAGGGACAGACACAGAACGATCTCTCTCACATGTGGGATAAAAAGAAACACAGAAGGGAATAACAAATGTCTAAAGGAAGAGAATATGAGGACCGATATTTATTTAGAAGCTTGCCAAAGAACTGGGGTAGGGGTGGGCATGTTGAGGAACAGATGAGGGAAGGGGCTGGGGGATGGGAAAGTGGAATAACAGTGGCTCTATGCATGAAACCCTACCATTAGCAGCACTGTATCCACCATACCTTGAATTTTAAAAATATATAGAAAAAATATTATTTTTGGAAAGAATTTGGGGGAGCTCTAGAGATGGGGACAGACACACGAAAAGGGAGTCAGAGTACCTTGCTGTTGATGTTAACATCAAGGTTGGCTCGAGGTGACTGCAAAGAATTATTTTCCATCTCAAGATGTTTGAGCTTCTCTGAGGCATCTTTTAATGCTGTGAAGAAAAATAAATGATAAAATAGGTCTCCAGTTAGGTCTCTTACTAATACGGGGTATAAATATAATTATTCTGATCAGGGGAAACCAAACAAGTGGTGGTCAGGAGGTCTGGGGTCACAATCAGCAAACCTTAGCCAACCAGGCCAAAGTTCAATGCAAAGGCCCAGGGATGCTTGCATCCTTGATTCCAGGGGTACCTAAGCCATCCTGTGGCTCTGAGGGCCTCCAGAGAGCACCCAGAGATGTTTGGGGAACTCCTGTGGTAATCAAACCCTGGTCAGTGTTCATTAGGAATGTGCCCTCGTTAACAAACTACCCATCTCCTGATCTCTATACTTAAAAAAAAATGCACCAATTACCTAATCAGTTAAAGTTGATAATCCAAGGGACCAAGAATGAATATATTTTCTTTCTAAAATCATATAAAATTTCATTAACTTGATTTAAAAGTTACATAGGAATAAGGCCCTGCTAAAAAGCAAAAATACCTATGACATCATCTTTTCTTCCATCACTACAACTCAGGTACCTCCTTCCAAGCCTCAGTTCTCTGACTCTGCTATTTTCATTCTGTGGACCTCACTTCACTATAAACTGCCTAAACTATACTTATGTGGGCAAAGTGATACAGGATACATGGTTTCTCATTAACTGGTTCAACACAGAATCTACTAGAACCATGAGGTGTGATACACAGCAAGCATTTTATTTTCATTATATACCATCTACAGTTGCAAAACCTATTACAAAGTCCTCAACTGAGAAGTGGTGCATTAAACTCAATTCAGATTTATTATAGCCTAGGTAACACTGTTACAATAGTGTTAACATTTATAATGTTGGTACACAAAATTATTATACCCTACTACCACAAAATTGTCTGATACTCTATAGTACTGTCCTTACTATACTTCTACTCCAGTTCTTCATTCCCCCCATTAGCCTTCTCTGCACTGCTTGGTAATCTAAACTTTTATCATCTAGGATCAAGAATTTGTCTTTGTTCACAATCCTTTTTCCTTGTTTTGACTCTACATATATCACAGATGAATGAGATCATCCAGTATTTGTCCTTCTCCCTCTGACATATTTCACTTAACATAATACCTTCCTGTTCCATCCAAGTTGCAATAAACTGTATGATCTCATCTTTTCTTATAGTTTCATAGTATTCCATTGTGTATATATGACACAGCTTCTTTATTCATTCACCTGTCACTGGGACATTTGGATTGTTTCCACATCTTGGCTAATTACTAAGCACTGAAAAGAATATAGATGTGCATATGTGTTTTAGAACATTTGTGTGCTTTTGGGGTAGATGCTAAGAAGTGGAATTGCTGGGAATCTCCATTCTTACTTTTTTGAGGAATCTACATACTGTTTTCCTAAAGGTTAAGCTAGACAACACTTTCAATAAAAATGAATGAGAAATTCTTTTTCACCACCTCCTAAAACAAGTTGTTTCCAATTTTTTTCTAGTGACAAAGAACAATCATTTCCAACTAAAGGGCAAGTCCAGAGCAGGAATATCAAAACTGGAAACTAACCAAAATAACTTATCAAAAAGAAAGTATTCAATATGCCAAACACAGTAACAAGAAGTCTCACAATGGAGACGTTACTGGGCCCACTCGAGCAAATCGATGAACAACGGGAGGACAGCTCCTTGAGAATATTGGAGGATACTTTTTTAAACTAGTAATTATTACTCTAAAAAAATCTAATTATAATAGTAATCTATAATTATAATAAATAATAAATACACATAATAACATAATAAACATAATAAATCAGAGTTAATATGCTTACCTGACCTCAGTTTTACAAGCACAACTTAAATAACAAACATCAATCAAAATATAGCCATGATATATTACAACATTTGTCTACATATTACTGTGGTTATCTGGTGAACAAAAGAACAAATTTTGTAATACCAATGATCAATAATACCTCAGCATGTAGGTAGTATCCAGAAGCACTGCAAATTTTTTCATTAACACTTATTTTTAAATTGCTACATTTTATAGCAGCATTCTTTTGATTTTTTTGTTGTTTGTTTTTAGACCATACCTAGTGGTGCTCAGAGCTTATTCCTAGCTGGGCACTCAGGGGTCACTTCTGGTGGAGCTCACAGGATGATACAAAGTTCGAGGATCAAACCTGGCTTGGCCATGTGCAAGGCAAGTGCCCTACCCGCTGTCCTATCACTCCAGCCCCTAAAGCATTATTCTACATTCTCTAGAGAGACAACAGCACATTCACAAGCAACTTCCTGGGTTTTTGAAAGATTGTGCCTACTTTCTGCAAAGAAACCAAGACTGACAAGAGCAACATAAATAAGCTGCTTTTAATTGACTATACACACTGAAATCTTTAACTTCTGCTCAAAGTCAGTTTATGGTACTGGAGAGATAAGCTCAATGAACATTTCCATAGACGGGAGGTTGGGTTTGATACCCACCCCTCCAGCATCTCCAGGAGTAATCCTTGAGTATCAAGCAAAGAAAAGCTGCTGAGCAGTGTTGGGTTTGTTTGGGTATCCTGAGAACCCCCTCAAATACCACTGTAGCACTGTCCTCCCGTTGTTCATTGATTTGCTCGAGTGGGCCCAGTAACGTCTCCATTGTGAGACTTGTTACTGTGTTTGGCATATGAACTATGTCACGGGTAGCTAGCCAGGCTCTCTGAGAAGGATGGAGGAATCGAACCTGGGTCAGCTGAGTTGGCCGCATGCAAGGCAAACACCCTACCGCTGTGCTTCGCCAAAATAAACAAATTTTTTTAAATGAAGTATGTTTTACTATCAAACAACATTTATAAATTCTTAGAAAAATTTTAAATGCAAATATTTTTTTAACTTTCAAAAATACTAAAAGAAACAGCATTCTTTTTGGACTATTTTTATGGGTCTGAGCAATAAAAAGTCTATGTTAATAACAAAATACTTTCTAAGTGTTCAAGGAGGGTCCAAACATTCATCAATCCTGTGCCCTAAAAATCTTTAGTAAAACTTTTTCTCTTAATTTGTACTCGAAACAAAGAACAAGAGAAAATATAAAAATTCATTACTATTTAATAATATAAGTTACACAAATGTCTAACAGTCTCAGTTATTAAATACTTCAACTGTATTCACTAACCATGAATTTAAGCTTAATAAGCCAGAAAGAGGAAAAAAGGCATCATTATTTTACATTAAATTTTAAAAAGCCAAATATTAATGTAAGAACTTAAACAGTTTACTTCAAAGGGAAGTAAAATTAAAGGGTGTCACTAGTATTATATAAAAGATTTACTTACTCCCACATTCAATTTCAGGTTCCTTTACTTCAGTTTGTCTGGTGACTATGTTAATTTCATCTGGGACTTGGGATGCTTGCACAGTGTCAGCAGGCCCAGAAACACTATCAATGGTTGTTTCTAACAAGTCTGGACCATCTAGCAAATTAATATTCACAGGCAAGCTGTAAAAATAACAGAAAATTTACTTAGAACAAGAAATTTATCATGAAAATAATTTAAAATACTTTTAAATTATATTACTTAAAAAAAAAAACCCAAACAGGTTGAGAGTTTGTATCCCAACTGATTGATTCATCAGTCAAGCCCTTTAGAAGCAGACGTCTCTTCCAGAGAAGGAACTATTTTCAGGATGTTAGACAACAGGCAAAAAAGGACAACAATTCTGAAATACAGGGGCAAAAAACAAGAAAACTTTCAGACTCTGAAGCAGAAAGGGTAGAGAGGAGGTAGTACATGCAGGACTTCCTCAGTGAAGTTGACAGAATTCAGGGAGACCAAGGAAGCACAAGTTCATGGGACAATATACCAGGGAGGAAACTGTGGCTCTTCAAGGAAAGATTTGTGAAAATTCTGAACAGGAGTCTGAATGTATATGATGAAACTCCCTAAGACTCCTTCCTCCCTTTGGCTAGAGGAAGAATTAATGGCACTCACATCTGTCCAGATTCCTGTTTATACAGATTATGTGTAAAAGCACGTAATTTGCCAGGCACTGGGTATTGCACCAGGAAGGTCTTGCTTCACCAGTAAAGAATAATTAACTTCAACAAAGCATGGCAACATATCCACCTAACACTTTCTGAAAGTTAGATCTGAAAGGATCAAACTTTCCAAGTAATTTAACTGCATCCAAAAACAAAGGTCAGAATTTATAAGAATACACAGTTGTCAAGTATCCAACAAAGATTATATCAGGAATGCAAACGAGCAGGAAGACATCATACACCAAAAGAGAATAATTAACAGAAAATGACATGGAAATTAGAATTAGCAAATCTCATTAAGCCAGTTGTTCATGTATTCAAAAAGTTCAGCAGCAACACGAAGATATTAAACACAAATACAAAAGCAGGAGTGGGCCAGAACCACTAGTCAACAGAATAATGCCTGAAACTTTTCCAAATGTGATAAAAACTATAAACTCACAGACCTAAGATCCTCAATAAAACCTAGATAATACACATAAAAATAAAACCCAAAGCCCATTAAAGCCAAAAATGATAAAACAAAACAATGATAAAAGGACAATTTTAAATGAAGTCGAAGATTTTTTTTATATTCATAGTAATAAAGATAACAGACTTTTCATCAACAGCAGTGCAAACTGGAGAAACACTTCAAAACACTGAAAGAAACAAAAAAAAAATAATCAACCATAATTTTACATCCTACAAAAAAGCCTTCAAAAAGGAAAACCCACATATATACCCAGAAAAATAAAACCATACTTTTGTTTATAGCAGCATTCTTTTTATTTGAAAACACTTTGGGGCAGCACCAAAGTGGGAGGAACCCAAATAGTGATGAATAAAGAATGTGAGCTACAGAAGGAAATGCTATGCAACAAATGTATTGATAGATTGATTCATTCTACCTGATTAACAGTCCTTGAAACCATGAAAATTAGATAAAGTGAAGTCCTGTATGCATGGACCCAGATATTATGTGTCATGATAAGTGAAGCAAGTCGAATGAAAGAAGATAAACCTAATATCTATTTCACGGTGTAACTGTTTAAATGTTTTATACACCACCAGTTGATTTTTTTTTCAACTTCATGAAACCAGGAAAATAGCTCAGTGGGCTGAGTGCATGTTTTGTATGAAAAAAGCTCAGGTTAAATCCCTGGCGCTACATGGTTCTCTGAACACAATGCCGGGAGTAGTTCCAAGCCCCACTGGGTGTTCACCCCCCACACCTCCCCCCCCCACACACACAATCACATAATGGTTGCAACCCGTTTGCATTTAAAAAAAATTCTTTGTAAAATCTACAATAATTATGCAGTGAAATGTGGTATGACTTCAGTTATAACTGTAAAAAAAAATTTATAGAATGAAACCAAAACAAACTATTAAGATGTGAAACAACAGTCGTAACTAAAACTGCAAGGTACTGGGCCAGAAACAGACCCACAGACCAATGGAAGAGAGTTGAATATTCTGTCACAGACTCTCAAATACATGATCACTTAACCTTGATCAAGGAGCAAGAAATGTGAAGTGGAACAAGGAAAGTCTCTTCAACAAGTAGTGCTGGGAAAACTGGACAGCTACCTGCAAAAAAATGAACTCTGACCTCTGTCTAATGCCAGGCTCAAAAGTCAGATCAAAGTGGATTAAATACCTCAATATCATATCAATATCATACCTGAATCCGTAAGTTACATGGAGGAAAATGTAGCAGAAAGCTCCATGACATTGAAGGTAAAAATCATCTGTAAGGATGAAACACCACTGACCAACCAAGTGGAAATAAACATAAACAAGCTTCTGCACCTCAAAAGAAACAGTGACCAAAATACAGAGAGAGCCCACAGAATGGGAAAGAGTATTTACCCAATACTCATCTGATAAGGGGTTAATATCCAGGATATACAAGACACTAGTAGAATTGTACAAGAAAAAAAATCAAAAAATGGGGAGAAGAAATGAACAGAAGCTTCCTCAAAAAAGAAATACAAATGGCCAAAAGGCACATGGAAAAAATGCTCTACATCTTGAATCATCAGGAAGATGCACATCAAAACAATGAGATATCATCTCACACCACAGAGACAGGCACACATCAAAAAGACGAAGAACAACTAGTGTTGGTGCGGATGTGGGGAGAAAGGGACTCTCTGTCACTGTTGGCGGGAATGCCGACTGGTCCAGCCTTTCTGGAAAACAATATGGGCATTTCTTCAAAAACTAGAAATTAAGCTTCCATATGACCCAGAATACCACTTCTGGGAACATATCCCGAGGGTGCAAAAAAGCATAGAAGAAATGACATCTGCACCTGTATGTTCATTGCAGCACTATTCACAATAGCCAGAATCTGGAAACAACCTGAGTGTCCTAGAACAGACAACTGGTTAAAGAAACTTTGTTACATCTACACAATAGAATACTATGCAGCCTTTAGGAAAGATGAAGTCATGAAATCTGCTTGTAAGTGGATGGTCATGGAAAATATCATGCTAAGTGAAATGAGTCAGACAGAGAGGGACAGACATAGAAAGAGTGCACTCATTTGTGGAATATAAAATATCATGAGACTAACACCTCAGGGCAGTAGAGACAGGGACAGGAAGCTTGCGCTCTGGTTGGAAGCCTGCCTAATGAGCTGGGGGAGAAGGCAGCTGGGATAGAGAAGGGATTGCTAAGTCAACAATGGTTGGGGGGATAGCTTGGGATGGGAGATGCGTGCTGAAAGTAGACAAAGGACTAAATAAGATTGCCTTTCATTATCTGTATTGCAAACCATAATGCCCAAAAGTAGAGAGAGACTAAGAGGCAAACTGACACAGAGGCAAGGGGAGGGAGAGGTGGGACTGGGTGGCGGGGGGGGGGGATAGGGATACTGGGGACACTGTAGTGGAAAATGCATACTGGTTGAGGGATGGGTGTTGGATCATTGAATTACTGAAACTCAAACACAAAAGCTTTCTTAAGTGTAGGTCATGGTGATTCAATAAAAAAAAAAAGATATGCAAGAACATAACAGTGGTTACCTAAAGAGGTAGGTACTGGGCTGGAGAGATAGTACAGTGGGTAGGGAACTTGCCTTGTTTGCAGTTGACCCAGGTTCAATGCCTGGCACCACATATGCTTCCCTGAACCCCACCATGAGAGATCCCTGAGCACAGAGCCAAGGGTAAGTCCTTGAGCACTCCTGGGGGGTGGCCCAAAAACAAAATCAGAGAGAAAAGGGTAAAGGACAGTGGCTTGGATAGATTTGGTAAAGATATGGGGAGGGTGGAAACTAGACTTTGGTGGTGAACATAACAATACATACATACAGATGGTGACTAACAAAATCTACCTGAAACCTATACACATTTTTATAAATTAATGTTATTCAAAAGGGAGAGGGATGTGACTCAGTGACAGAATGCCAGGCTTGCATGAATGAGACTATAAATTTGATCCCTGGCAACCACCCCAATTAAGTCATGTCAGCACCACAATTATTGATTCCCCAGAGCCATAAATGTAACTGCCAGGACAGTACAAAGTTGCAACCTCTGCCAAGTAAAGCATCCAAGTATGTGAACACTGCGCCAAAAGTCCTACAACATCACAACAAAAGGGGGGAAAGACTGGCATTTGCACAAAAATCAATAGTATTGAGATTCCAGAATTCTTATAATTGGTATTTGCATTACAAGTCAAGGGGGAAATAATAGCCTTTTCAGCGACTCTAGGGCATACTTATACAAAAACAGAAATTTCCTGAGAAAAATCAATTAATTCCAATCACAAAAATAAAATGAAAATCGATATTAGACCTAAGGTGGAGAGCTTAAACTTGAAAACCTATTAAAATGAAGCTCAGTAACTTTAGTTTTGGAAAATATGTTTAGATATGAACTAAAAACATCATCCTCAAAAAAAGTTGTAGGTTGGATGTCATCATAATGAAACAGTCAAGCTTCAAAAACACCATACTTGAGGAGTGGCTCAAGTAGTATTACACACATGCCTTGCAACAAATTAGAATTCATGGAAAACTCAGAAACAGTAAGACAGGGAAAGAAGCCAAACATAAAACCCCGTATATTACATGATTTCACTTAAATGAAATGTCTAGAAAAGGCAATTTTTTAGAGATTGAAAGCAGATCAGCAGCTGCCTACCTGAGAGGGTCAGAGGGGGTAGGATCATGTCCACTATGTAGGGATGGTTTGGAGGTAAATGAGGATTCGTCACTGGTAATGATGAAACAGCTCTAAAATGTGACTGGTGATGATTATACAATTTACCCATTTCTAAACATCAGGGCACTGTACCCTTACAGTAAGTGAATTTACAAACTAGGAAATTATAATCCATTTCAACAAAGTTGCGAGATCAATGGATAAAAGTTAACTATCCATGTTTTAAGAGATTGTCCACTTAATACAAGGAACTGGAAATTTAAAAAGTATTCCATTTAGAACTCCATCGTATTCTAA